CTGTGGCTCAAGTAGAGCGCTAGCCTTGAGCTGAAGAGCTGAGGGACAGCGCCCAGGCCCAGAGTTCAGGCCCCACGACCGGACCCAAAAAAAAAAAAACTTTAAGGAATGATGCCTTATTAAAGCCTTAAATGTAAAAAGTACAAAACAATGACAATGTTGATGTTCTCCCTCTCTCCCTGTCCTGGATGTGAGATTTGCCTGGCAGAGGAGGTTTTTGAAAGGTGGATCGAGGTCTTTTGCCTTCTGAGGCACACAAGCCCCGTGCATTGTGTAGGTCAGATGCAGCTGAGAGTCAGTGAAATGAAACTGGCAGCGAGTAAACTTTGCGTTGCAGATAGCACACAATGAATTAGCACTCAGAAATGGATCATTTAAGGTGTACACAAGAATATTCTAATGTATCATTGCCTACAGTAGGAAAATCTCCTGCCTGCTTCCAATTTAATATTGGTAAATGTTTTACCATTTCCCCTGCCAAAAAAACCCACAAACCCAGACCCGGGTCAAGCCCATCCTTCTCCCTTACCTGGGAGAAGCCTGGGGCTGCCCCCCTCAGGGTCTGGGAGAAGCCCGGGGCTGCCCCCCTCAGGGTCTGGAGGCCCTGCTCATCTTAAAGTGCTGGCTCCAACTTTTGGGCTATTTCCTTATGAACAAAGATAAATGAGTGAAGTAGCAATCATGAACAGTCTCCTTCAGAATTTCATTCTTTAAACATGTCAAACAGTAAGAAGACTTGGAGAAATGAGTTAATGGTCCCACAGTGAACAGAAAGTGGGTGTGAGCTTTACCCAGGGTGGGAGCTGCTGCGGCCCTAGGACCCCGGGGGGCTGGTGTGCCCAGCACACCTGTTGTGCAGCACAGCCGCCCAGAGCGGCCGCCCCGCCCTCACGGTGAGGGGAGCAGAGTGTCAGCAGTTGCTCCTCAGTGCTGTGTGGCCTGGAGCCGCAGGAGCTGTGCCCTGGAGGAGGTGCTCTCACTGGTGGAGAGGGACGGGCGCCAGCTCGAGTGGAGGACCTCTAAGAAAGAAAAGAGAACCAGATCGTTAGTCTTTAGAATTAACTGTGAAACAACAAATTGGAGAGACACTCGACAAATGAGACTACCTTAAAATAAAAAGCTTCTGCACAGCTAAATCTATCGCAACTAAGCTAGAAAGACAACCAACTAATTGGGAAAACATATTTACCAGCAATATATCAGACAAGGGGTTAACATCCAGTACATACAGGGAACTCAAGAAACTAATCCCTCCCAAACTTAACAAACCAATTACTAAATGGGCAAGGGAACTAAAGAGGGACTTCTTAAATGAAGAAATAAAAATGGCAAAGAAACACATGAGGAAATGTTCATCATCCCTGGTGGTGAAGGAAATGCAAATAAAGACATCCCTGAGATACCACCTTACCCCAGTCAGAATATCCCACATCCACAAATCAGCCAAAGACAAATGCTGGAGGGGATGTGGAGAAAGAGGAACCCTTTACACTGCTGGTGGAAATGTACAGTTATACAACCACTTTGGAAAGCAGTCTGGAGGGTCCTTAGAAAGGTAAAGATTGACCTCCCTTACAACCCAGTCATACCACTTCTAGGCATCTACCCTGAACAACAGGAACCAATATACAAGGACATGTGCACCTCCATGTTTATTGCAGCACTGTTCACAATAGCTAGGATGTGGAAACAACCCGGATTCCCCACCACAGATGAATGGATCCAAAAATTGTGGTATCTATACACAATGGAATATTATGCAGCCATTAGAAATGACAAAATAATGGCATTTGCAGGGAAATGGATGGAGCTAGAAGGAATCATGTTGAGCGAGGTAAGCCAAGAGCAAAGAGACAAACGGTACATGGTCTCCCTGATAAGTGGATGCTAAATCCAAAATGTTAGGTGATATGACAAAACTAACAGGACTTAAGAAACAAAGAACTCCCACTCATCTGGTCAAACCACTACTAAATATCCCCATGCTGCTGATCACATGTATGGTGTATAACATGTGAACACCGTTATATGTTATAGACTGTGATAGACAATTTGCTCCAGGAAAGTTAGAATGAACTTGTGACTTTAAATGAGCATCATTATTCCACAATACTGTGAAATTTGGGAAATTATGTAATCACTTAATCACAATCAAAAAAAAAAAGAACCTCGGGGAAGGTAGGGAGGGAAAGGATGGTAGGGGGAAAACAATGGAGGGGGTAACAATGCTCAATAGGAAGTGTACTCATTACCTTACTCATGTAACTGTAACCCTCTGTATAGTATCTTTACAATAAAAAAAAGAATTTTGGTATATATATATATATATTACACATATAATACATATATACACACATGTACATACCACATACACATACAACACACACATATGTACTAAAATCCATTTGTCATATCAATTTTAAAATCAATAGTAGTATTGACTCTGCTATAACTACCTTAAAAGATTGTGATTATCAGATATGCTAAGTGAGAAAGTTGTACATAATCTGGAAAATTCATTATTCATGTAAGGGAAGATACAATCTAGGCAAAATGCAAACAAAGTCTCTCATTTCACAGGAGGCCAGCAGTGATCTCTCTAGGGCAGAGGGGAGAAAATTTCCCACTGGTCAATTCCCAGATTTTCTTGGAACAGTAGACTATACACACAGGGCCAGAGATGACTTTGAGTGTGAACACAAGCAAATCACATGGACATGTGGGCAACGTTACATGAAAAGAAAACAAGGAATAATCCCCTTCCTTTCTTCTTAGCATTTATAAAACTTTACTGTCTACAAAATTATGACTTCATATAATGTGAATTTCTCCCCTTAGAGGAAGGAATTAAAAGCACAAGAAAAGTAATAATGGTCACAAAAGCACACCAAGACAGAGTTTCCCTTCAATACCAATTACCTCTCCCATTCTACCCTTGTGAATTTCATGTTCAGTTTGCTTATAATCATTGCTCTATTCCACCTTAATCAATAAATGTTCTTCTGTCTGTTCTGCTTCCTTTCTACCTTGCCTTGTATATGTATATTGCCTTGTATATGTATACCAATCCTTCCCATGCATCTACGTTATTTATTTTTAAATTAGGTCTCTTTTGTATTCAATGTTGGTCAGTTGTTTTGCAAGTCTCTGTGTGCACTGAGAATTTATTTTCTAGATTCAGATGATGTTTATATATGAATCTGATGTTATTTATGATATTTTATATAATGTTTTAAGAAGTACTACTTTTCTAAACTTTTTACCATGTAGTTCTGCTATCAAGTACTATTATTAGTTGTTTCGAAACACGCAAATGGAGTACTGTTTACACGTGAACACTTGAGAGTAACAATTTTATCATGGTACTGTGGCAGTGCACTTTATAATTTACCACTTTTAATTGCATCTGTACTATCTTTATAATTCCTAAATTGGATATACTTATTCTGCGAAAGAGTAAAAACATTACATAAATTTATAATTTAAAGAAATAAAATTTTATTGTGTCCTTGTTCAGCATTTTGGAAGGATTTTAAGACTGTTTTAGAAATGCATTTTCATTAGTAAAACAAATTGTATTCTCTTAGATTATTCTGCTTTTCTTATAGAAAAGAATGTGTAAGCCTAAAGTCTAAGCACACGGGTCATAGGCATCTATTAAGATATGTAACCATAAAGATATTTAAAAATGCTGTCAGTCTGTTTTTAATCTTTCAGAATACTTTCCTCCCATAAAACAGTCATAAACTTTACTTTTGCTTATAGTTTGTGTAATTTTCAGAGGATACATTTTATTTTCCTTAAAGATAAAAATCTTGTAATTGTCTTTAAGATTTCTCTGTCTATTGGTTCTGTCATAAATTTGTGATTTTTCAAAAAAAAAAAGAATTAACGGTGAAAAATAAGAAGCCAAGTAGCATAAAGGTGCTGGAGGGAGTTGACCTGGAAATAAGAGGTTGTCACCTGCACTGCACCGTGCAGAGGTAGCATGTCCATTCATCTGTGCTGTCCAGCTATTTTATATATACTCCATGTGGATGCTAAGTTTTCTAAGGGTTGTTACTAGGTAGAGAAAGACGGGATCCAGGGTCACACATGCTCCAGAAACACTGTCCTGACTGCACTCTTGGCCTGAGTCTACAGTCCTGGGGGTGGACAGCTGGCTCCTGGGGGAGTGGACATCCTGCCCAGAGAACTCCAAAATGCTTCTGATAGATGCTTCTCAAAGACCATCTTGAAATACCAGCATTGCCTCTAGTGTGTCCCAGGAAAAACCACCAACTGTGAGGTCTGAACAGAGATGGGGAGCCCGCCAGGGGGCATGCAACAGGCCTTGGATTTGCACCCAGGATCTACTGGTGACGTCCAGAGACATTAGTGGCCATCACCCTGGGGCGGGGGTGCCACAGGATACACTCCAGGTGTGGGAAGTTCAGAACGAAGAGCTGCTGGGCCTCTGGCAGAGTGAGCCTCCTGGAGTCCCGAGACACACTCCTGTAATATACCTTACCAAACGACCCATCAGAAAAGACAGATGAAAGAATCACCATAACTGTAGAGATGGTCACTTAATTTTCTGCCTCTGAAATTATTTTTGTTTTGTTTTGTTTTGAAGGCATTTGAAAACTTTGCTTTTAGAAAAAAATCCTATCAAAACGTTACCTGTGGAACTGGGTAAGTGCTGGAATAATTAAATGAGTGATTTCGCCGCGCTGTCTGTGAAGTTTCTAGGCCTTACGACAGAAATACTACCAGTATTGCAGAACCAGCCACAAGGCAGCAGGCGGGCGCTGTTTGGGGGTCTGTTTGGGGGTCAGGTGGCTACTGCAGTTACACATGTTGCCCGTGTGGAAGGTGTACCTGTGCATGTGTGTGACAAGTGGTGAGAACGTAGAGCTCTGTGTACAGCAAGCTGTCTCCCCTGAGCTGCTGGTCACAGCGTGGCTCACACCTCCTGGGCCTGTGTGCTTTCCCTGGAGCCCCAGAGCCTTGTCTGAGCACCCTCTTTCAGAGTGTTAATAAGTTGAGTCTGGGCCCCTGTACCCCTGTTTGGTGTGTGTGTGTGTGTGTGTGTGTGTGTGTGTGGTTTGTCCACATGACCGTGTAACATAACTTGCTCGTTTGTGTGCATTTTCCTGTCTTTGAGGAGGAAGATAACTTTCTCTGTTTTGCATTTGAATTGTCTCTGTTTTCTGTTCTTTGTTATTTGTGTCTGCTTCATTTGGATTTGATTTTCCATATTTTCAAGCTTAATTGAGTTGAAAGCTTGGGTTTTGATTTTAAATTGTTCTTTTCTAATGTTCTTTTCTAATGTTCTTTTCTAATTTACAACTACAATATTGCCCTACACACTGCCTTAGTATTTTCCTCCTGTTTTGACTTGCAAGTGATTTTATCATGCAGATGAAAATGTTCTGATGTAATCACTTCATTGGGCTATACATGAGTATGCTGTTTAATTTATATAAAAAATAAAACAAAAAACTGAGACTTTCCAACTATCTTCTGTAGCAATGTTCCCTTTAGTCACCATTTTAAAGTCAGACTGGATTTGAGAAAAGCAAAATCTACATACGACCTGGAGCAATGTATTAAACCACAGATAGCTTGAATAGGTTGAAAGGGAACACATAGAACAGGCTTTGCCGGAGGAAATGTGGCGCAGTGGCAGTGGCTGCAGAGCGTGGTGTCCGGCGCAGTCAGCAGCCGCTGCCACCCAGGACATGACAGCCCTTCATCTCACATCCGGGCCTTCTGTCTCCTGGATGCATGCCGCCAGTGCCATTCTGTCCCATGGGTGCTGGAACATTCTGTGACCTCGGCATTGTATTCTGTCGGCCAGGGACACTAACGTCAGGTGTTAGTCTGTCACTGTGGAGTGTTCGCTTCCTTCTGTCCTCTGTCCTCAGACACTCGTCTGTCACCTTAGTGGTTCTGTCCTCAGACACTCGTCTGTCACCTGGGTGGCTCTGTCGTCAGACACTCGTCTGTCACCTGGGTGGCTCTGTCATCACTCAGACACTCGTCTGTCACCTGGGTGGCTCTGTCATCAGACACTCGTCTGTCACCTCGGTGGCTCTGTCATCACTCAGACACTCGTCTGTCACCTCGGTGGCTCTGTCATCACTCAGACACTTGTCTGTCACCTCGGTGGCTCTGTCATCACTCAGACACTCGTCTGTCACCTGAGTGGCTCTGTCATCAGACACTCGTCTGTCACCTGGGTGGCTCTGTTGTCACTTCCGCCTCTCAATCTTGCTATGTCTCATGGTCTGTCAGGTCTTTTCTGTCACGCGGGCACTGCCCATGGTGTCCTGCCACTCGTGCAGTTAGAACTGTTGTCACTTAGACGCAGACAGCATCATTCTGTCAAAGGTGCTGCTCATGGAAAAAAAGATGGTTTTCATTTATGCTCCTCAGAGAAGACAGATAACTGTCCTCAAATTCAGAAGATAGATAACTGTCCTCAAATTCAGAAGATAGATAACTGTCCTCAAATTCAGAAGATAGATAACTGTCCTC